CTGCTAGGGGCCAAACATTACATAATGCTGGAATGTACACCCTCCGTATGCATCTCAGTGACACCGCCGCATTCTCGGTTCGAGGACTTTCATAAAATCAATATATGCGTTGAAACTAGCTGTAGGTCTAATTTCAACGGCATCACCAGACTTTTTCATGTATTAAAATTTAACATTTAACATCAACCTCACTTAACTTAACATCCAACAACCAAAAGTTAACAGATAACAATGAAATGTAACATTTATGTTAAACACCTTAACAAACAATAGCCAGACTTGTTATCCACCAATAAAATTTAACGCATGTTCTGTATAGTTTACAATGCATCAACATTAGTCTGTAACATCTATCTAAAATGGAAAATGTAACATCATCTTACTTCTTTATGAATTTCTTTTGGTGCCTGTTGTGAACTTGTAATTTTTCTTTTTCTCGATAACCCCTTTTGCATGCCTAATAGGGTCTGGGTGGCTTCATCAGTGCTGCCATTCCCTGATGATGACGCATGGGATGACGAAGACTTGGAGGGGGAGGAGGATGAGAGAGAAGCGGTACCACGGTCGGTCTTAGATGGCAAAGAGGGGTCTTCGTAATTCTTGGAAGACGAGGAGGGATCTTCACCAGTCGACGTAGGCAAGTCTTGTCGCTCGTCGTTCGTCGGTGCAGGTTCCTGACGTTGCAGCGGAGGAGGAGGACGGTGAACAATTTTACCTTCCTTCGTCGATTTTTTCCCATTTTCTGTCGATTTCAACCAAGCCCTAGAGTGGAGATTTGGGTATTTCGCCAGCTCCTTTAGCTATAGAGAGGGAAAGACACAAAGTGCAAGGGGCAGAGAGGAGACAGAGAGAGAGACCCTTGATATGAGTTGCGGAGTGGGCGGGCATCGTTACCAACACTCGTAAACTGTGGCGGTGTGGGCGGGAAGGGTAGAGACGGGTTTTAGAAATTTACAGCTCATTCTGCTAAGCTGGGGGGCTGAAATACAATTTTACATTGTATTTTGGGTTTATACAAAGGGGTAAAAGTACAAGGGTCTGTTGCACATTGAATCTTCACTTTTGGGGCCTTGAAGCAATTTTTCCTTAAAACTTACATCCTTTTTAAATATAGAGGAGTAGATATAATTTTTAATTTTAAGCATACAATAATCAAATTAAATACATTAAAACTTAGAGAAAAACAAGTTTAAATTACACTGCTTAAAAAATAAAGGGCCGTGCTTGGCACATGATACGCACTAGTTAGGTTATAATCTATTCCTTTATACAAAAGGGAAAACCAGAGAGTCACTGTTCATGCTACAGTAAATGCTATAGTAGATTTACTGCAGCATTATTACTGTAGCTGATAAATAAGTAAAAATATCACTGTAGCACATGGGTATACTGTGACATTTTAAAATAGAACTGTAGCAGGCGGGATACTGTAGCATTCCCATAAAATTCAAATCACGCATGTTAAAAAAGAGGGATTACTGTAGCTAAAAAAAAAAAAAAAAAAAAAAAATATCGTGCCTTGCACGGACAGCAGACTAGTTATAGTTGAAGGTAACATGGTCCTCCTAAACTCACACGATGTGCGCGAACGCACCATTTACCGACATTGATCCTCCTAACCTCAACCCGCTCGGAGAGAGCTCTCTTTGTTGTGATTCAAGGACCATGTTTGCTTATCCGTTTTCTTATAAACGACTTACTAGGGCTGTCCATCCGGGCCGGGCAAAACCCAAGCCCGGACCCGGGCCCGGGCCTGAGCGGGCCGGACACCGGGCCGGCCCGGTTTGGTTTTTTTTTAGAATTTTTTTTTAAATTTTAACAAAACCATAAACCATAAATTATTATAAAAAATGTCATAAATTTAATTAATAGCTTGAAATGAAATGACATAAATTACAAGTACAAAAAATGATAAAAATAACTTCTTTATTAATAATCGGTAAATCCTTTACAAGTATAAATTTATTTCGAAATTCGTCGCATCACAATAGATGAGTACATCCCAACTAGGTTGGCACCTACTCACCCATATCACTATCATTTGTAACTTTTTTCGAAATAATTTAATTCAAATTTAAAGCTAAGAAAACAAAATTACAATTTTATGAATATTATCTAATCATTATATCTATTATTCTTTATATCTATCTGCTAGTCCCAATTCTTCAAATTTATCTTCAATTCCAGCCATCCGATCGATGCCTTGCGTTCGCTTCTCGTACCTCCACCAATCTTGTAAGCACATCACCGCTTGTACAGTATACGGATCTAAGCATGTCCTGTGGTCGTCGATCAAACGTCCTGCTATGCTGAAAGCGGAGTCCGAGGCTACAGTCGAAACCTGCACTGATAGTAAGTCACGAACCATGGTGGAAAGTATAGGATATGAAACTGATCCATATACTTTCCACCATTGCAAAATATCTAAAGCATTTCCTTGACATCTAACTAAGGAAGCAGATAAATATTCGTCTATTTCAGAAACCTCTAATCCTGATGAAGTTCCAGATCCACCAGTTAGTTCAGCTACCATTGCATACCTATCAAAACTTACACTTTTACCTCGACCTGTGCTCGAAGCTGAAGGTGCCGAAGCTGAAGACTGTTGTGTAGCTACACCATATCTAGCTGCATACTCATCATATAAGGTTTGAAAATAATTTCTAATAGCTAAATAATGAGTAGTAGCAGTAAGGGTGGATCCATCATCTAAGTCTATAATCTGTCCACCATACAATGATTGTAACAAACTTCGAAGGCCAATTTCCTTCAAGCATGGATCAATAAGAACACCAATACCAAAAATATGAGGAATAGGCCTAAAATACTTATTAAATTTACTCTCCATTTCAAAAATTATACTTCCAAAAATATCATCCATACGATATTTTGTAAAAAAATTTTGAATATTTAAAATTTGTAAAGCAGCTAAAGTAATAGTTGGATAATAACAACCAGATAATAACATAGTAGCATCATAAAAAACTTGTAACATCTCATTTAATTTACATATAACTGTCCATTCATCTTCAGTTATTCCATAAGCACTACCAGAGCTAGAACTAGAAGCATAAAAATTTATAAAATCATTTATAATTTCTTTATATTCTATTGCTACAGATAACATTGCATAGGTGGAATTCCACCTATGGTCAACATCTTTTGGAATTAGTCTAGGCTTATAATTTTTTCTTTTACAACATTGTTTCCATCTTTTAATTCTCATTTCAGAAGCATTATGCATATTAGTAACTGTTCTAACTTTTTCTATCATGGGTTTAATTTCAGAAAATGCACTTTGAACAATTAAATTTAAAATATGACAGATACATCTAACATGAAAAAGCTCACCATGACATGGCAATGACAAAGTTATTTTCAGAAAATCAACAGCTACATTATTATTACTTGCATTATCTAGTGAAAGAGTAAATATTCTTTGATCAATTTCTAGTTTCATAAGTTCTTCAACAATTAAATTTGCAACATTAATACCAGTGTGTGACTCTTCAATTGCAATAAAAGAAACAACTCTTTTAAACATTTTCCAACTTTCATCAATCCAGTGTGCTGTTATACATAAATAACCAGTTTGCACTCTAGATGACCAAATATCAGAAGTTAAAGAAAATTTGCAGTTTAAATTTTTAAAATAAGAAATTATTTTTCCCTGTTCCTCAACATAATATTTTAAAATATCACGTTGACAGGTTTGACGAGAAAATTTTGTAAATGCAGGATAAAAACCATCTCTAAATAAATCTTCAAATTCATCATCTTCTACTAATTTAAAAGGAAGGTTTTTAAGAACAATAAACCTGATTACGCATTTCCGGGCTCGGGCAGCGTCATAATTCCAACTGCCGAGGGTACCTGAAGAGGATGATTGGGAAAGCATAGACTGCCGGATATCACCTTGTAGATTTTGGCCTTTGTTGTGTTTTTCAATATGCCGTTTGAGATGGTTGGTGCCGCTCTTATGATGAGCTTTGAATATCTGGCCGCACAACGCACATTTCGCATTCTGAGAGATGATCCTACCGTGTTCATCCTTGGTGACGTCTATCTTCTCAAAAAAATTCCATACATCAGACCTCGGCCTTTTTGGAGCTCTTGGTGCCGTAGATTCGTCGCCACCAGATTCAGGATTAACACCGGTAGGATGAGGAGTTGTTGTAGGAGGACTCATCTCTGGATCGGTAGGAGTTGCATGTTGCTCTTCATAATCAGACCCAGAAGCCATTTGTTGGAAGTATTAGAAAATACAAAAGATTATAGGATAGTATATTAGTATGAGATAGTATAAGATTGTATAAGAGAGTAGTAGAGAGAGAAATAGATGAGTTTTGTTGTGAGAAAATGAATTGAAACCCCCCCTCTATTTATAGAAGCAGCCCCCTAGGTAAATGACCAAAAAACCCTCGAAAAATAGCCGTTTTTTGACCGTTTTAAGGGGCAAAACGGTCAAAAGACCAAATCTGGCCGTTAGGCCAGATTTGGCCCGGGCCAGCCCGGCGCCGCCCGGGCCCGCCAGGCCCAGGGCAGCCCGGCGGCCATAACCGGTCCACAAATGTGACCGTTTGGCCCGGCGCCGGAGCCGGCCAATACGGTCACTTTTGTTAACACGTTCGGCCCGGCGCGGGCTCGCGGCCGGGCTGCGACGCCGCGGCACCGGACGGCATAACGGTCACCTTTGTGGAGCCGTTGCGGCCGCGGGCCGGGCCGGCCCGGCCATTCGATAGCCACAAGTAGCCTTTTTTCGGGCACTGTTCCGGGCCGGGTCGGCGCCAACGCGACCAGTGGGCCCGGGCTTCGCGGGCTTATTTGGACACGCCGCTACGAGCTAGCCGGTCATTGCGGATAAGATTCGCACTATACAAGACTCCGGAGACAGCTCTGAAATGCCAATCTAAACTCACTCTAAAGCCGTCAGATAGAACACTGCTACAAGCAATCGCGACCATTAGATTGTCAGCCAGTGGCTGTCGCGGAGATGAAGTGATGAAATGTCCCGCGGGATCAGTTTAAAGTCGTGGCTGCGAAAAGGCTTAGGCGTCGCAATTGATTAAAAATAAAGTTTTGATTAAAGCGAAGGTCGATGGGCGGTGGGTTTTGGGATTTTAAGGAGCTATCTGGGGAATTATATTTGGGGGTTCTCTCGATTGGATTGAGATTCAGTAAGATGATCCCACTCTGCGCTCGTTTAATGCCCGAAAACGTCTTTTTTACGTTATTTATTTTTTGGGGATTTTGATGTGTGTTTCTTTGATTTGTCCTGGGCTTTGATGCGATCGTTGTGAAGTTAATTGTAATTGCTGAACTGAGTACCCATATATTCTGTTTTTGGTGTATATTTTTGCGTGATTATGTAATTTTTTGCCTCTTTTAATTTTTATTTTTATGTTGGTAAGAAGTTCTAATCTTGGTCATGAATGACGGGCAAAAATGCCTATTTTGAGACACATTAGCTAGAAATTATAGCAACGTTAATGTTACGGGAGATTCCATATGAGTTATATGATAACTAGAAGATTGGCGTTTCCACATATTGAACTGTATGAAGCATTAGTAGGAAAAATCTACCAATAACGTTGACTTGAATAAGTTTGCAGATGATAAGTTACTAACCCATTTTAGGAAATTAATGGGTTGCCTCTTTTCACCTGATTGCTTTATATATGTTATGCAAGAATTAGCTCATGGCACCATGCCCTCTTCACACATTGAAAAGGCTTGGTGAATGTATATTGAGTTTCTGTGTTTTCATGTTCGTTCATTCTTTTCCTGAATCATAATTGAGGCTATAATTTATCTGTAGATTATGTTTATTATTGTTATTATTATTATCATTTTGTATATGTTTGCATGACATGAATCGTAGAGTTCTGTCTTTTTCGTGTTCTAATTTGTATGTAGATAGAATGTATTATAAATGCTGGATGAAGAAGATAATGCCTGTTTCTGATCTAACCAAGGACAAATTTATGTATCTTGTTTTGGAGATCAGTTGTAGATGCTTGTTGCACAACACTTGGTAAATTCTATTAGTTCTCATTTTGGTGAGATGATAATTAGAAGATTGAAATTGGCAGCATATTGAGCATTATGAAGCATTAGCAGGAAAATGCCTTGATCAGCATAATTTTTCTTTCTTCTAGTATAAATGTTTTGACCTGGATAAGTTGACAGACTAAGTTATTAAGCCACCTTATGATGCTATTAATGGGCTGCCTCTTTGCATTTGACTGTATAAGTTTTATTCAAGAACTAGCTTATGATACCATGTTCAACTCCACTGAGAAGGCTTGGTGGATTTATGACGAATTCCAACAGTTTTACTTTTCGTATGCTTTACTGTCATTATTGATTAAAGCTGTAAATATTGGACCTGGTATGGTGCTGAATTGATTATGCTTTTTTCGGTTCAGTTTGGAGCTTCTTTATCATCATCAAGGCAGGATAGGTTTTTCTGTCGCATAGGAATTTTTGGAATGCTACAAAAATAGTCTGAAGAATGGAATGGTATGAGGACATCTTCAGTGTATCCATTTCCAAGTGGCGTGATAGTTCGTCCGACATGGCTGAACCTGAGCCTTTGGTTCTTGCTGCTCTTGTGGCTGGCTTCATTGGTATACTATCATTTCTCTACTATCTCTTTCAAAGGAGGCGTGATATTAGTCTAAGTTGGATGAAGACTATAGCAAGAACAAAGAAGAAGCGGAAAACAAAGCATAAAGCTCCTGCTGCTTCTCATGTTTGGAAAAGTGAATCTGGATCTCGCTCAAAGGGTTTGCACTGCTGTGTCTGCTTAGAGTCAGTCTCATCATCTCAGAATCTTGGACAAATGATTGCTTCAGACTATTCCATACATCAATGCGATGTTTGTGGTACAGCTGCTCACTTTACCTGTTCATCCAATGCCAATAAGGATTGTAAATGCATCTCTATGATTGGCTATGAACATGTAGTTCACCAGTGGGCTGTGCGGTGGACGGAAATGGCAGATTTGTCTGAAGAAACTTCTTGTTGTAGCTACTGTGAAGAGCCATGTGATGTATATTTTCTTGGTGGTCCTCCAAATTGGTTTTGTATGTGGTGTCAAAGACTGGTCCATGTTGATTGTCATGCAAGCATGGCCAAAGAAACGGGTGATATATGTGATCTTGGTCAGTTTAAACGGTTGATTTTATCACCTCTATATGTGAAGGATCTTAGAGGATCTGGGACAGGTGGGATTTTGAGCTCCATAACTCATGGTGCAAATGAATTGGCATCTACAGTAAGGGGACATATGAGGAGTCGGAGTAAAAGGTTTAAGCAAGGTGTTGATTCGCCTGCAGATTCCGCCAATAGTGGCAGCACTGTTGATTCTTCTACGGAGAGTAAAGCAGATACTCTTCAATCACCGAAAGGTTCTTATGAGAATGGTGTGCAATGTAATGGAACACGTGGTTCTATGGACCTACATCAAAACAGTGGAAATGATAGCAAGGTTGAGAGGGTGGCAGGTCCAAAAAGAACTGAATCCTTCCAACAGAGGGGTGAGTCTCACTCGTTAGGAATCAAACTAAGTTATGAATTGATTGATTTGCCTCCTGATTCCAGACCACTTCTTGTCTTTATTAACAAAAAAAGTGGAGCTCAGCGAGGAGATTCACTGAAGCAGAGGTTGCACATGCTTCTAAATCCAATACAGGTTAGGATTCATCACTAATGTCATCATTCAGAATATATTGGCAACTACTTTGTGATATGCTTATTATCAAAAGAGTCATGCAATTTAGTCTTTTTTTGGTTCTCATCCAGTCATGCTCTTTAAATATCAAGGCAATGTTTAGTACTGTGGAGCGTCTACATTGTATCTTGAGATTCAATATATAGTTACTGGATCTTGATCTTTTTTTGCTTCTCTAGCTGGCGCAATTGAGGAAATTTACCTAGGCACAGTTTATTCCCCCCCCCTATGTTGCATGGATACGGGTGAGTGTGTGGGCACGGATATGGGTGAGTGTGTGGACATGGGCATGGGTGCGGATGCGGAACATGAGAAAAATTGTTAAAGTTAGGATACAGGGACACGGCTATATACATACGTATTGAAATTGTAAAAGTTCTCTTGTAAGTTTATGTTTTCCCTTTTTGGGATGTATACTGGTTGGTCTCATCATTTGTCGCAAAAAAGTATCACCTCCTTTCCCCTTAATTTAGTGTTGTTAGTATTTCAAAGATTTGTAGATTTTAAAATTAATGTCTGCAAATTTATTGCATATTTTCAAATTTGAGAATCTCATCTACACATGGCAAGTATTCTGATGTTAGTGCTCCTGTTTTGTTTCTATTAGGATAAGGTGAACCTCATAGATCTTGCTTACACGGTTGATATGTGTTTCAGGTCTGTGAATTGAGTTCAGCACAGGGTCCAGAGGTTGGGTTGTTTTTATTCAGGAAGGTGCCTCACTTCAAGGTTCTTGTATGTGGTGGAGATGGCACAGTTGGTTGGGTTCTTGATGCCATAGACAAGCACAATTATGAGTCCCCGCCACCAGTTGCAATCCTTCCAGCTGGTACTGGTAACGATCTTGCTAGAGTTTTATCATGGGGAGGGGGTCTTGGTGCTGTCGAGAGACAGGGTGGCTTGTGTGCAGTTTTGCACCACATTGAGCATGCTGCAGTTACCATTCTTGATAGGTGGAAAATACACATAGAAGATCTTCAAGCCAAGCTTGCCCAGCCTCCTAAATTTATGAACAATTATCTTGGTAAGTGAGTTAAATTTTCCGCGTTTACAATGATATACCAGCAACAGTGGTTCTTACTCTGTATATTAACAGGTATTGGTTGTGATGCTAAAGTTGCTCTTGATATTCATAATCTGCGTGAAGAAAATCCAGAGATGTTCTACAGCCAGGTGTGCAAATATTTCGATCTTCTAGTCACTTCAGAGCCTACAAGTTTATAGAGATTATCTTAAGAATCTATTTCCAATCCATTGACGTAAAATCCATTCCATTTAGTAACAAATTAGAAAAACAGATCTGTGTAAAACACCTTGTGAATTTAGAAAGAGAAGATTATTAAAGGCAGTAGCATGACAATCATGTGTGCAATGTTCTTTCTACGTTAGTTCTGTACACATATGTTTCTTTTGGTGTTGAGATATCTCACCTACTGCAACAATTTTTTTCCTCCACTTTTCACAGCCTAGAAGTTGATATATAGAGATTATTTTAAGAATCTCTTTCCAATCCATTGATGAGACATCTACTCCATTTAGTAACAAATTAGAAAAATAGATCTGTATGGAACACAGTGTGAATTTAAAAAGAGAAGATTATAGAAGGCAGTAGCAAGACAATCATGTGTGCAATGTTCTTTCTACATTAGTTCTGTACACATATATGTTTCTTTTGGTGTAGAGATATCTCACCTACTCCAACAATTTTTTTTTCACTTTTCTGTGGATTTTTATTTGGCTAAGATTGTGTTTGACTCAACTCCTATGTCTTATCAATGGAGTTTCACTGTTTTCTCCACTGATTAAAGACATCTTTGGAGTTCTGCATATATTAGTATTTGTTCTGTCTGCTGCTACATTATGAAGTATCCTAGATCGAGGTCAGAAATTGAAACTCTCGCTATGAGGCTCTTAGATCCCATAAAATTTGTAGGATATCGTCTGTGACTTGAAATTGTGTATTACTGGAGGAAGATATGCCTCAGAAGCTTCCTACTTGCAACTTTGCAAGTTGCAGTTAGTCTTGTGACACCTGGCAATATTATTTTCGTTGAAAGTGGCTTTTGATTTTAAAACTAAATCTTTTTATTGCTGTTAATATCATTTTAGGTGTTTTATAGTCTGTCAGCGTTGTTAGATCCTCTCTCCATACTTAATCATATGTAGGATTATGAAAAAGGGAGCATAAGATATGCCTGTGGAGCTCTTATGATCCAAGGTTCCACCATAATATAAATTTTTGTATTGCCTTGCTGCTTCAAAACTATTATTGAAGTCACGTATCGGATGCTTTAAGTAAGGGAACTAATTGATTCCTTGGAAAAATTTGTATGCAAATGCTAGATTGTATTAGATAACACTAACTGTTTAGTTATTTAACTCTAACTCAATTACTTTCGGTGATTATTCATCACATTCATAGGAAAGTACATATTTGCATGCAAATGTATGAATAGAGCTGTCATTATGTTAGATTTCCATGAAGTCTCATGTTGTATGCTTGAAGATATACAAATACTTGTTACCTGTAGGACCCTCTCGTTCTCGTATGCTTCTTCTCAATTACCTGTCAACTTGATGTTATGTGCTATGCGATGATATTACAACTTTATATAGTCCCTCACCCTCTCGAATACATATTCCTAGTTTCAGATGTTTCTACCTGCTGCTTCTTTGATTTTAGAGTGAAAACTGAATGTTTGTTATTGCCTCTGCAGTTTCTAAATAAAGTACTTTATGCTAGAGAAGGTGCAAAAAGCATCATGGACAAGACATTTGCAGATTTCCCATGGCAAGTGAGGCTGGAGGTTGATGGCGTTGACATAGAAGTTCCTGAGGTGATGATTTATGGTTATCAGCCCATTAGTTTTTACCTGAATATTTAGGAAAGGTCAAAAAAAATATTCCTCAATCTTGCATGTTTTCTTTTGTGTTTATGGCCATTGATCCAAGGCTAATCTATCACGTTAAACACATTCTAATTCATCAAGTTAAGTTTATGCGTCCAGTTTCCGATCAATAGCTGTCGTATCTTGATAATTCAATCAAGCTAGAGGGTTGCAAGTTTCATTTACTGGCTAAGATACCATACGTAGTAAAACGGTAAGTGTCAATAAGTTGTATCACCTCAAACCACCCACCAAATGCTGAATCACCAAAGCACCATTTTGAATGTTGTTTATAATTTTTTCCCCGAAAACACTGAAACAGTGAGACCTTTTAATTGTATAACCATTATACTAGTCTATTGAATTCAAATTGGCTTCCAAGGTTTTGTAATTTTCTTTTGCTCGGCATGATCCTCCAAGAGATCAATGATTATAAAATAGTTTGATCCAGGGGATATCTGAAGCCAAATTCAGTGTGAAGTCATTGTTATATTTGGTTTCTAACTTTGGTTCGTTTGTTCCTTTGTTACCTCTGCATTTAGGTAATGATAATAAATGCCAAGGTTTTATATATTTAGATGGGTTTTTATCATATTAGATAGCAGAAGCAGCAATATCTCGGACATTTGCGCTTGCGCAAAACATCGGGCGTTGATATGTTACTGGATATAAATAAATGCCGATGACTTAAAAAATGTTTTGAAGTCCTAGATGTCACCTATTCAATATGAAAAATATACATGCATACAAAAGCAACAAAGACGATTTATATTAGGAGTGGCAAACGGTTCAGATTGGGTCATTTCTGTAGGATCTGAAATAGATACACTAAAACGCTAGAGGGAGGTGAATAGTATTCTTTTAAAATTTATACAAAGTAGATTATAAATTACAAAGAAAAATAGCAATCTCAGAAATTTACAAATACAAATACAAAGTTTTATACTGGTTCCACCAATCCGGTGTACATCCAGTCCCCAAGCAAATCCCGCTTGAGAGTTTCCACTATGATTTTGAATAAACTTACAAAATCAAAAGCAAACCTGACCAATTTGCAAGTCACTGCAAATTACAACACCAATTGACAAACACATTGTCAATTTGCACACCAATCTCTAAACCAAGAGATTAACACCTCTCACAAATCGAGAGAACTTTTGAAGCAACAATTTCAATTCCTATAAGCTTTGATTTGTAGTGTAGTGTAGTAGTGGCTTAGGAATGATTCTAACTTCTGTAAATTTGCCTAAACATTAAGTATTTGAATGATGTTCAAAGACAATTTCAGAAACTTTTCTTTTTCTCAAAATCTGAATATTTTTCACTTAAAAAAATGCACAAAGATCAAAGCTTATGGGTATGTAAATCTCTGTATTTTTTTTGAACAAATAACCTATTTATAGCCCTTGAAAAGACAATTTTTTGAACTTTAAAAACGTTTAAAAACGTTTAAAAACGTTTAAAAACGGCTATAAACAGTCATAAATTCAAACTTTAAATTCTGGAAAAACTGTATCTGTAGTCGACTACAAGACAGATTAGTCGACTACACTGAGTTTAAACAGACTGTGAATTCAGAAAATTTCTCAGTAGTCGACTATAAAGTTCATTAGTCGACTGTACTGTAATTTGACAGAAACTTGGAAAATAAATTTTACCTTCAGTAGTCGACTATAATGTTAATTAGTCGACTATACTGTAAAATATTAGAAACTTATATTTCTGTCATAAGCTTGAGTAGTCGACTATAATGTCAATTAGTCGACTATACTGTAAAATAACAGAAATTTATATTTAAGTCATATACATGAGTAGTCGACTACTATTCTAATTAGTCGACTACTAAGAGTAAAAAATATGAACTAAATTTTTTTTATACTCAAGAATTAACTATAACTCTAATGGTTAACATAGGGGATTTCTATAGTTAACCAACACACTAAGCCTGTGTTAGTGTGTTTTAATATTTATGTGTGTGTGGGTGTGAGTGATCAAGGCTTGTACAATAATTCTAAGTAAAAAAATGTAAAATACATTATCTCATATGTTCTTCATCTTCTTCACTTCATATTGCTTTGAACTCAACTTGCACTTGTTAATATTTTAATATTGAAATCTGCATATAAAAGTTAGTGCATTTGTATAACACACATTGTATAAATTGTTATCATCAAAATAATATCATGGAGATATGATATTCAACATTCTCCCCCTTTTTGATGATAACAAATAATTTATGCATATGTATGACATTATGAAATAAACATACTTACTCCCTCTGCATGTATGCAAATTAGAGTCTATAACATTACATAAATCTAATATAGATAACCATTTCTCCCCCTTTGTTATCAACAAAAAGAGAAAACATTTATGCTAAACATGACATTATTTCTTCAACATGAGCTAATACTTCAAACAAATCATCCAGATTATGAACATAATCCATAGCTTCACCCATCCAAATAGGTAGTAAAGACTTGTCATAAAGACCAAAAGTTTCATAATGTTCATCACCATGATCTGTTTAAAATATATAGCACATATATTAACTATCCTATCATAGTAATGTAAACACACAATCAACATACTTGACATTGTAGCAACATAACATATTACATATATCTTAATAACAACCCACAACTACATAGTTTTTGATACTTAAATATAGATAACTGACAAAAGAACATAATTGTTTTGAAACTAAACATTAAAACATCCAAATCTAACATTAAAACATCCAAATCTAATATAATGCATGCATAAACTTCTAAGGTGCTGGAGGAGGTTGATGTCGTTGAAAGTATGCGTTAAGCTTTGTGTCCAAATCATCAAACTTCTTGATTAGCTCTTCTTAATTACTAATAATATAGGAATTCTGAGAATATAGAGCTCTTTGACCAGTTTCAAGTTCAAGAATACGTGCCTAATAATATAGGAATTCTGAGAATATAGAGCTCTTTGACCAGTTTCAAGTTCAAGAATACGTGCAGATAGTGTGTTGTATTGCACATCTGAAAAACATGAAGGTTCTGAAGGAAATGGTGGTGGTTGACTAGAAGAAGTTCCTGCTTGAGTTGAAGATTGTGGAATATCTTATGGAATTTCTTCTTGATGAGGATGAGGTTCATCTTGAGGATTTTGTTCTTGAATTTCAAAATTTGTTAACTTCATCCTAGTTAGGGCATTGGAATCAAAGAATTCAATGAAACGGATAACAGAATTTTTAGATTGAAGATTCACATGAAATTTGTCAAAGATTTTTGTTAAAAAGGCACCATAAGGAAGAAATCCTCTTGGTATTGTCAGAAGATTGTCAAAGTAAACTTCAGCCCAATTAATTTGGATATTTCCCATTATAGCATATAGAGCTTTTGCTAAGTCTAGGGAAATAAAATGGAAACTCTCAGTTTTTAGAAACAAGTTATACGCTAAGATTCGTGTAATGAACCTAGGAATTGGATGAAGTTTGTTTGAATTATTTAAAGGTTTACTATATCCAGGAAGAAATATATGATTAGATAAAAATCTGAATCATTCATCCTAATTGACCTAAGAGAGACTCCTTGAAAAAGAATATTGAAAATTTTTCCAATTGACTTTGTAGTCAATTCAATTTCTATTCCTTTAACAAGAGTTTTAAGTTTTTCAGAACCATCAATAGTTCCAACACGTTCTATATTAGTATAGAACAATTGAACAAGAAAAGGATATGTGGGTTTTCTATTTTCAGCAGAGAATAATTCAAGCAATCCCACATTATCAAAATATGATCCAAAGTTTCAGGGAATAAAATCATCAAATTTCACAAATCGTCCTGGAAGAACTTCAAAAGTGGATATTTTGTTAAATTCTTCAAGTAAATCAGGACTTTCTAAGTAAATGATGATTTCATCGTTAACATTAGTATGAATTTGCTTAGCTTTCTTAGCTCTAGACATGATGAAACAGAAAAATAATAGAAGATACAAAGATCAAGTTGAGAATTTTACCACAGACTGTTGAAACCCTAGATTAGTTGACTATTACTTGGTGTAGTCGACTACAGAACTTGACAGACTTCAGAAAATGATGAACTTGATGAAAGTTTTGAGAAATAAATGATGCCCTAACTTGGAATCGGTGGGTTCTGAAGAGAGGAAGAAGAAGAATCGGTTTTAGGATAGGTTAGTGGGTAGTTTTTAGGTTTTTATCTTTTCTTTTTTTTTTAAAGAATTGCATTGTATGGTCCAGATTTAATTGTAAAATAAATGAAAGGTGAAGAATTTATCTTAGATATGTGGCTAGGATTAATAGAGTTAAAAATCTATGGTTGAGATAAACTCTACTTAAATAAAACGGGTATTGGGTTTTGGGTTTTGGGTTTGATTAAAAAAATCCAATAAGTTTTAAAACTGTAAAACTGTGAATTCAGTATTAGTAGTCGACTAGTAAGAAAAATAGTCGACTACACTGTAATCGACAGAAAGTTGATTTTCAGATTTTGACTCAGAGTAGTTGACTATAGGTGAAATTAGTCGACTACACTGTAATTCACAGAAAACCTTATATGCAAAGCTTGTGCATGTAGTCGACTATAGGTCAAATTAGTCGACTATTAAGGGTATGTATGCATATGTGTTTGTTTTAAAATTTTAATTTAAATCTTCGATTGAACATATACCTAATTCCCTTCTTAATTTAACATAAATTTCTTCTTTTAAGGGTTTTGTTAATATATCTGCTATTTGTTTATCAGTAGGTATAAATTCTAATAAAATGTCACCTTTAAGCACATGATCACGTAAAAAATGATGTCTAATATCAATGTGTTTTGTACGTGAATGTTGAATAGGATTTTTAGATAAATTAATTGTACTAGAATTGTCACACATTATGGATGATATTGGACAATTTATGCCATAATCAGATAATATTTGTTTCATCCATAAAATTTGAGCACATGCAAG